TCTTGTAATCGACACCCCCCCCCCCACACACACATTCCAACTTATTTCATCAAGTTTGATTTCGACGAAATTGAGTTTTAGTTATAATTTCCTAAACTCAGGTTGAAAACATGTTGAAATCAAGTTGGGATCATATTAAAATCAGTTTCAAATGAAAGCCCAAGTCAGATATGAGTTCAACTTGAATCTGAGCTGGGTTTTTAGCTGCTTAAATGTATATTTAGTTATTCAGATTTTGAGTTTTATCATAATCTTTTCTTCATTTATCACCATTCACTAGTTCTCAAACATCATCAACAATATAAGTAAGATTTTCGTGCTCATGAAATATCATCTAAGCCAGATTCGCATAACAATGTTGATCGAAACACAAATATAATCAATAATTTCAAATGTTGCTGATGATATTTTGTCGATTAGAAACTTTCACGATACGCGGTACCGTTCTTTTACTTCATGTCTTAAATAAACTCAACAAAATGGCATAAAAATGGCATGAAAGTTTCAATCTTTCTCTAGTTTTAAATAAAGCAGGGCAGGTTACAGTTTGTCAAAACCCATTAACCTGCACTGCTCTACCTATACTGGATCTCTATTCAAATGATGAGGAAAATATATCCGTTACAGTTGATCCGTTACTGCTTGTTATAATAAGAAACTTTAAATAGTAATCTCTAGCGGATTATTATAATGTCATACATATGATGTACATCCGCTACAGCTCATCAGCTGCAATTCGCTATAATAAGATTGAAGGAGTATTTCTTTTATCCTATTATTGGAAGTTTATCTTTTAAACTTTGCAGATAATAGTATATTATGCACATCTAACAATTGACAAGATTGAATAAACGTAATCGCAACGCGTTTCGCTAGCTTGTGATTGTATAATTCTACCCTAGTCAACTCTCTTCTGAAAAGTCCCCCGGGAGTCCCCTGTAAAAATTCCCGGGGAGTTATTACAGGGAGTCCCGGGAGAATTTCCAAGAAGTCCCCAGGAATTATCAAGTATTTCACAAGGAGTTTAGTGATTTCTCAGGAATTTCTAAGTCATTTAACTTTGCTTTAGCTTTTTCTGAATCGACACCAATTTTTTCCAATCTGTCTCTTTCTAAGAGGATCTTCTATCTAAGTCATTTAGTACGCCTCTTCTCAGTGGACAACTCCGGTGACTGTTAAATCTTCTCAAAATGATGAGTTATCGCTGAGAGGACATCGGCAGAAATTCAAATGATATTTATCACTTGGGCAAAACTTGATGTTAAAAATAAATAATAATTTCTTCGAAATTTTGAGTTTCTTATATACTTTCATTGGAGCAAAAGAAAGCGGTGAATACATTCCTGGACTCCCTGAAAAATTCCCCCAGGGATTCTCTAGGGACTCCCCAGGGAATTTTCAATTTTCTAGTAAAATTCGGGGACTTCCTTGGGATTTTCCAGGGAATCCCCAGTGATTCTGCAAGGAGAGTCGAGTAGGGTATATATGCAATCTCACCCACCAATCCCATCCTCAAGATAGTACAAATTTGTCTTTGCTAACATTATTATTAATAGGCAAGAGCCTTTACTGCATATATTTGTCTGAGGACCATGAAAAATGACTACTCATATTTTCATAATAGCTGTTATTTTCGATGATTATAACGATTTCTGTGATCAATCATGACTTTATATTCGATTTTCTTTATATTGTTGATGCCATTATAAAAAAAAGAAGACAGAATAGAAAAAAGGCACCAAAATCTCCAATTCTAGACAAGTGGATAACTGGCCCGACTCGCAATTCCACATTGATTATTCTTGTTGCGACTCATCCAGATATAACCATTCCAACCCCATGTCTCACCCCAAGAGCTTTTTACAATATAATAACCCATGTAATAAAAACCGCATGAAAATCGGCGGTTAATCGCGGTTTTACCGGTCCGGCTACCGGCTCTCATTACCGCAGAACGGATAAATACCGCGGTTTACCACACAAAATGAACTGGCATTTACCGCGGGAAACCGCCAGTTTTGATTAATACCGCGGTTACCGCTAAAAAAAGCGGTTAACCGGTTCATCTATAATTTTTGACAGAAAAAGTCTTCCAAATCATCAATTAAGCTATTTTAAAGATCCTTTTTTTTTACTTTTACATGTGATAAACATGCGCAAAAAACCGCTGGTTTACCGCGGTTTTACCGGTCCGGTTACCGGCTCCCATTACCGCAGAACGGATAAATACCGCAAAAATTGATCCGGTATTCGCAACATGGGAATCTTGTTTCGTCGTTCCATTATTAAATACATCATATGCAACAACAGCCATTGCGTGAAACCATTCTTCAGTTGAACATGCCGGCTCATTATAAACACCTGATGCATAGAAAAAGAAAGAATCGTGTACATTAAGCACTTTTTTCAAGTATCAAAGGAACTCATTGCTTTTTTTTCTGATTCCCCAATCACTTCTTTTCGGAATCACAGTAGCTAACGTGATGAGCGATTCTTTTCGTTCGTGTTGACTTTTTTAATAGCTTAATTATTCGCAATTTCAGATGTCACTCGGAATAACTCCTATTTAAAATCAACCACTCCTAATTGTTCAAGGCCATCATAAGTAATAGGGCAAATAGCCACAAAATCGTAAGTACTACATTAGATATACTGTTTTGATTTTTTTCGCATTGGCAAATTTAAAGATACATGAAATATAGAAGCATATCATTGTGTTAAGTTTAAAAAGGAAATCATGCTGTTTGATCCGATTAGTTAAAAAGAGTATAATACGAAACAAACTATTGAAAACTATCATAACTTAAATCAATGTTTGAGTTAGTAGCTGTTTATATATTTTTACAATAGACAGACTATATTAGTAGGTTATGATTTTCGTTCAAATCGATTCATCTCGTGTTGGTATATTTCAAAAAAAGAAAATTATCTTCGCATCATAAATACAGTTACATAGTTTATTGTATATTCTACTCGTGCTCAAATTGGATTAGTTTGAAATAACAATGAAGTAAATATGATTTTAGAAAGTAAATATATCTCGGTTACTGCAAAACCAAATATCACAAAAAAGTAAGGATGGTTTATAGCTACCTTTAATACATTTTTAGTCTATGCCTATCGTTCAATGTGTTGTACTCTTTGTACTTTCAATGATGTCTCCTATAGTCAAACTGAACAGGTCTTATAATGATGCAATATCCTATTATGATACGATTTATCTCGGCTGAGATATTTGCAAAATACAAAAATTTCAAGAAAAAATAATTTAATGTATTTGGTAAAATAATATTCTATATTCCTTTTACGAATGGTTGTCTTTTCATTGCTCTCATTAAATTGATTAGTTCAATCTTGATAGTCTAAGATATTCGCTTCGTTTGTTCAATTTTTTTTTCGATCGAGACAAGTTACATTCAAATTGAATTTATTGTTCATTGGCGACATTTTCTATCTGAAATGTTTTGATTCCTATTGGCAGTGTCAACCAACAACGAATAAATTCATTCAATTTGAACAACTTATCTCGATGATCATGATGCGATTTGAATTGTATTGAATTATCATGTATCCAATCACAGAATGATATATTAAATGTACATGTTCGATACGATGCACATAGACGACGTGATTCATCGGAATGATCACCACAATCATCAGTCGTATCACAAATACGAACTTTAGGTATACAGGAACCACGTGCACAGTGAAATCGATCTGCTGCTTGACATTCGCTTGCATTAACAATCGGAGGTAAATGACAGCGAGCGATGTTCGTATCGTCAATAGCAACCCATCGAAGTGTTGTTGAATGTTTTGAATCAAATGATATTTGAAATGGTACATCAACACAACCAATTATAATATTTACTTTTGTCCAATTGGTCATTGCGTGATAATGAAATTGTTGTAATATTGCTCGTTCAGTTTGATTATCAGTTAATAACATAGCATTCAATTGATTTGATGAAACACCAGTTAAGTAAACCCAGAATTCCAGAAGACATGTTGAACTTGCTTGGCTAAGAACAGGTGTTATTAAGCGTGCTGATAAATTTAGAGCCGTTCCATCCGATATTGATAAATACATATAATTCCCAGTAGGACTATATGATGCATGATCAAATGGTGATCGTTGATTATCTGCGGCTAATGCTCCGTTTGAACGAAGTTTCCACATAAGTGACCCTTTACTAACACCATTCCAACCACATAAAGAACTTGGTGTGCCATCAAGTGTACAATTACTACATGAATGTTCATCACCGGCATTTTGGCAATCAACAATAAAGTCGCATACCTTAAATAAAAATCTCTTTAGATTGTCGACTGATGTGTTTTTCAAATAAAATTATGACGTGGGCGTGATTGGATATTAAATCTACATCTAATTTTGGTATCACATATCTTTTCTTTATCAATGCATCGACCGCTTTCCATGCACATGAATTGATTAGAAACCTCACATGAACTTGTTGTTGCAACAGTAACTAAATGAATCTTGAATAAAATAAAACCTTTTTTAAATCATTTACAATCAATACCTGTAGCACTGTTTTTGACGAGTGTTACATCGATTTCTGTAGTGACTATTTAAAACAATGTATGCCATTGTGAAGAAAAACCTATTTAACTATCTTTAATTATAGCGAGACTTGCGCTGTGGTTCTTATTTTCGCTTTACTCATGCCCTGTAGTCTTTTCTAAAAAAATCAAAATTTTATACTGCCTGACTGCGTTCGGAATATGTGATTCACGTTTAATAAAAACAAACTGGACATGTTTTTTGAGAAAATCATTCCTATCTATAAAACTTACCCACAATACTCATCCAGTATAGAAAAATAGACAAGATTTCAAAACGATGCATGTTCTAAATTTTCTAAACAAATTTTTCGTAAGGAAAATTACATATTTCTAAAATAGAAAACGACATGAACTTTCGTTTGGGCAACAATAAAAGTGGAACGATATGATGTAGAAGATAATTAGCTTATTCTAAGCACTATATATATTTCTTGAACATACTAATTCAAAGAGTTATTTTGAAATATTACGCGGAAAATTTTATGAAAGAACATTGTAGCGTAAATATATATATACATACGATAGAATGCGACCAAAGATTGCAGCAACAAATAAAAATAAAAACACTTTTGATGCCAATTAATTCCACGATTTGCTTAACCACCTACACCTACAATCACAGTCGTTTCATCAATTTACTTTGACAAAAATGAATCCATTCACGAGAATCACAAGCTTTACTATACTCTATTCACATTCAAATTCTATTTGAGGACCAAACGATAACAACTGACAAAAAAAGGTTTGCTTTGAATCATATATTAAATAGAGAGAGAGAGAGGGATTTCAAGACAGTGTAAGATTAGAAAGTGAGAAATTTGAATTTTATCAGTATTTACTTTTATTCTTTAGTCATGAGCGAGAGTCAACCAAGTGACCCTTCTCCAATAGACATTTCGATTTTGACTCACCGATTTGAGGGTATCGTGGGCATCAACATTCAAAACGGATTCCTTGGATTGTTAATTTTTGATACGTAGATGGCTCGACGACAAGTCAGTAAAACGCAAAGCTTTCGACCAGTCTATCGGGTCTTCCCGAGGGTATCAAAATGAAAAGGATTTTTTTCGTATCGATGCTTCATATTCGGTCTTCAAAATGAGCAGCATTAAGGAGATTGGGACATAGGTGAATTAATTAGTAGTTTAAAGATTGTTATTTTAAAATGCACAATAACTTACAAAATAAAATAAGAAAACATTTTTAATTTGAAGAAAAATACACTTTGGACATCTGTAACTGAAGAAAAGGCTTTTTTTTTTTATCGAGTTTCAAGTACGAAATAAAGAGCTTATTTGATAAATAATTAATTTACACGACAAAGCATAAAATCAATATTTATTAATCTTTTCAACGATTCAAACAACTAAATCAGTAGAAAAACGCTTGTAGATTTCGGTCTCATTTCTTATTTTTTCATCATTCAATGTTGAAGACCTTTTAGAAAATTAGGGAAAATCTATTCTGAACATAGATCCATGTTTGAAGAAATTTTACGAAATCAAAATTCAACTTCACCATTTGTATCTGTTTTTCGTTTACTCGAAACTTCGCAGTGTTTAAGTGCTTGGAATTCGGTGCCTGTCAATGGGCCCGAAATCGCAACAGAGCCTACGAAAAATATGTTTCATATTTTCAAATGCTTGCCACATCTAGTATATGCATTATTTTTTAGTCCGCTTGGGCCTATTATATTTCTAAAAAAAAGCATACGCTCTATTATTCACAATTAACGAAAAATATATTAACCATTCAGAACTATCGCAATGAGATAATATACTAAAAGAAATGAAATTGTGCTTGTGAGCAAACAATAGATGCGTATGGTAAGACTGACAGCAGAAATTCCTGGTCTATGAATTCTGTAATTGATTGCTAGAATAAAAAAAAAAACACTATATTCATTAAGATAGTTGTGAACACGAATGTGATATGATGAAAAATAATTACTGTGACTTTTATGAACGGTAAAGTTGTGGAGAAGCTATTGTTATATTGTAGTTTCCTGGAAGGGGATGGTCACAGCTGGAACATTGGTCAAACATTGTCGTAATTCTATTCACTTTGTAAATGGAGATGAATTTTTTCAACCATTCTACATTATTATTTATTATGAAAAATAACCAAATATTTAATGAACATAATCTAATATGCATCTCTTTTTTTTTATACATTCGTTCACTGAATAAAGCATTCTTCGGTTCGCTTTGTCATCGAATGACGACGTGTACTCGAAGTAGAAAAAAACAACAAACAAGAATATTAGCAAAACTGTCCAAATATGAAACGAGCAATAGCACACAAACACACACGCACGCACACTCACACAAAAGAAACAAAATTACATTCAGAAATTAATAAAGAGATCCTATGTGTAAAACGAAAGCGAACAGTTGAACATCGTTGAGCAATGGAAAGCAAAAGAATCACAATTAACTTTTCATATTCGTATCTATGGATCCCGATGTTGATGATGAGGATGAGGATGATTGTAATCGTTCATCATTGTTCTCTGCAACTACCGTTTGATGATTTGTATTCGATCCATTGGCAATGTTTAATGGTGTCTCACGACGTTCTTCAAGTGGATTAGTAAATGCATCATCAAGGCCAGCCATTGTTATTAATTCACCCAATCTGTAAAATAGAAGGATTGTTTATTTTTCAACTCAATTTTGAAAAACAAAGAAATGTACCGTTTTGATCTAAGAAAATCTAGAAATTTTTGAAATTTCTGAAATGTATTTTCTACTACTGCACAAAAATGATCCTGTTCTCGTTGCGCTAGATCATTTTTTGATAAAACCTAATTAATAAATAGATAAAACATTAATAATACGAAGTAGAATATTTATTTTACTTGTTGAAGTTGTTCTTCTAATTGTCGTTTAGCTTGCCGCTCTTCGCGTAATTTACTTTCTAATCGTTGAATTCGACTCTAAAACAATCAACTATGACTATGAATCTAATTTCAAAAATATCTTTTCAAACAACATACAATTGGATTTTCTTTTAATTGTTGCTGTTGCAAATCACCACCAGTACCATTGCCATAAATCGATTCTTCTGATGAATGGAAGCCACGTGTTGGTAATTTAGGTGGAAATCCCCTAAGAAAAGCAACGAGACTCTCAAATAAATGAACACTTTGTAAGTAGACAAAGAAAACCACTATATCTGTCAAAAGATTCAAGTAATTTATATTCAAAACTCTTTTCATAATCCATGCTCAACTCTTAAAATATGTAAATGAGGAAATAGTTTGGATATTGATATACAAGTAAAAATTATATCAATTCGATTTATCAATATTATAGGTGGTTAGTCATGCTTTCCTTTTAGAATGAATTCGTTTTTTTATGTACATATAAACATACGGTAATCGACTTGCACGAGCAGCTGTTCTCCATGGTATTCCATCACTTCTGGGTTCAGTTGAAACAGACCCAGTGGATTTACTTCGTTGTAACTTAGCTGGATCAACAGGTGTTTTGGGATTGAAATAAGCTGGTCGATTAGCACCAGTTGTTGTCGTTGTTCGAGCAATTTTTGAACGAGGCCGTCGAGGAGATTCAAGTTTTAACCATTTATACTAAATTTTAACAAGGAAATGAATTCTTATTTTATCTTTAATCGAATACAAACTTCACACAAACGATCATCTTCACAATTAATTAACAATTGTTCAATTAATTTCTCCATGATATCACGATCAACAAGAGGATTATTACGAATATCAATGATATGTATCAGACTATTGTATTTAGCTGCATTTAAAAATTCTTTTGCACCATTTGTTGATATAGCACAATCTTGAAGATCGAGTGCTGAAAAAGAAAACCAATAGTCGTTTATTATCTTAGATCAAAAGCATATCGAGAAATTTTTGTTTACATAATTAAATATTTAATTCATTTTTGCACGATACTACGAATATATCGTAAGGAAAAGAAAACATTCTATTTCCTGCTTAATCAATGCACGGAATGGCATTTATGTCAATGACTTAATTGTATGTCATCTCATCGATTTTAAGAGCAGTTGTCGAGGCTAAAAAAACTACTTCCGATTAATTCTATTAAAGGAATGAAAGAAAAAACTAATATCTTTTAACTATAAACAACTGTGATGTAAAAAATAGATAGATAATTTTAGAAAACTGTATTCTTTCATCAAATTAATTTTGCTTTCTAATAAAAACAAAATCAGGTCTCGGTGGAATTGAAATTCCATAATTAAATTATTTATCGTCGAATAAATAGTTACCCTTGATCCAAAGATCGGCTTCTAGTACTTCAGCTAGAAATGTTGCACCACGATCAGCAATTAATGAATTTCGATTGAGTGTTACACGTCGTAAACCAGACATATGATCAAGCATTGGATTTTGATATGGTAAACTTTCTTTTTGTTGATGACGAAGACTTTCTTTCCAAACATCTGTATGACGTCGATTGCCTTGTTGCTACAAAAATGAAAACGCCAGTTGTTTATAGTTTATTGCATATGATTTAATAATTCTGTTTCTTCTAAGTCATGAAATATATTGAACACGCGAGAAGAAAAACTCCGTTCTTTGCCATAATAGTAGGTTCCTCTTACAATTCAGTTCTACGGACTACTTTTTTTTCAGTCATGAAAATGAATAATCAAACGATGTCGTTTTTTTCTAAAGAATTCTTCATGTCATACGGTCATCTAGCTGCTATAATTAGTCTTTTATTTATTGCAATGCTTGTATTGATGGTTATCATTCTGTTATTTTTTCAACCACAACATGCAAGATTTTTCGACGAAGAAGATATTGTCAGTGAAACTGATCTAACAGTATTAGGATATAATACATTGGAACTTGAAAGTTTTTAATCACAACCAATCAATATTATTTGTTAACATCAGTATTTGTCAATCGATGTAACTTTGTTCAGTACTGTGTTTTTTTTCTTCTTCGTTTTATTATATACACCTATTCGCTTATCTCGTATCAACTTTTGTAACTCCAATAAAAAATTTTGCTCTTTAAACTATGACCTTACTCTGATAAGATCAGCAATAATGTGTGCACCTTGGCTGGTGAGTGAACAAGCTGAAAAATCGACTTCACGAATTTTTGGTGCTTGATTCAAATGCCGACAAAGGACTAAAAGAAAGATAGGTTTTCGTTTTTCGTGTTTTCAACAAAGCAAATCATCTTACTATCAAGTCCTTCATCGCCAATTGGACTATTCGTAAGACGAAAATGGATGAGTGATTTGCATTTGGCAATTCCCTGAAAACAATTAGAATTGACGATAAACAATAACTTTTAATTTCTCTATACCTGAGCTAATGTTGTTAGATCTTTACGTCGAAATGGAAGACCATCGAATTCCAATAAAACAAGTTCTGTTGTTATCAATAAACTATCCTTGATATGTGTACAGATTTTTGATAATAATTCTTTTGATTGAAATATTGGTGGACGTTTGGAAGCTGATGAAGCTCGTTTTAATGTTCGCCGTTCAGCTAAATAAATGAAATGAATTAAAAATATGTCAATTTATTTTTTGATATAAAAGTAAAACCTTCGGCAAAATTGTTCGACAATGAATTATAGTATTGACTACGTAATGTAAGAGAACGAAGTGTTTTACATGTACCAATAGCCGAACATAATGGTGTCCAATCATCAAATCTAAGTGAACTGGTTTTATGCGAAGAAAAGAAAACATTTTACGATGCATACCGAAGACTATCTGTGTCTAAATCAATAATTCCAGAATCAAGTTTGATTTTTACACTTGACAAAGGCAATAAATGATATTGACGACAATGATCATCATATTTAGAGCTAAAATCACATTGAACATCAGATGTTGTTTTAGATATTGGATCAACACGCATGATTGTCTGGATAAGAGTCAGTTATCGAAGAACATTTCTTTACTCTAAAATATCAAGAGATTATGACTTGATAGTTTCATTTTTTTGTGGTTATCGTTGACTGGATGAATAGAACAAGGCACCGCTTTATCCATGTCGCTAAGCGAATGTCCTCAGTGTTTTATTACTGAAATTCTTACATTTTTAACTGGTTTTTAATATTTTTTTCAATATTGAATTCTTTTTCATTTGATTTTCTATATAGAAATTTTTTTTCGATATACATTTCATTGGCATAGATGGCGCGACTATAGATAAATTTGCTATTCAATCGCTGTTCTGCTTTACCTGCATATGAAGTTTATCTGCTTTTGCAAAATCATGAAAGAAAAAAAAATTTTGTAAGTATTCGAGTTGTTCTTACACCATCAGCTGTCAACTTGCCTTTTTTTGCTAAAAATGAATCAAAACACCATCACGTTTATTTGCTTTTCTTTCTTCTGGGTTGTGCAACGTTATTTCTTTCTTAACTAAATCGTTGCTTCAGATATTTGTGTTTAAATACTCAGGTTATTTTTTACTTGCGTTTCATTCTTTCAGACGTCTACAAGTAGTTAAAATAGTGAGCAAAAGAAAATGGCTGATCCAAAAAAGCCATCGACGGCATCCTCATTATTGTCTACTAAAGGTTCGCTCTTGTCAACAAAAAGTACAACGCTTACCAATAGTTCATTGTTACAAGGCTCAAGTCTTTTATCTTCATCAACACTTAATACAACAAGCCCCCTTCTATCAGGATCGAGTACAAGCAAACCATCGAGTCTTTTTACTTCATCAACGCTGCTGGGAGCTTCATCCAAACCATCAGCACCCTCAACCTTAATAAATACTACAGTTAAAACATCTTTTTCATCGACGCAATCAAATACTCCATTGACATCATTAACTTCATCATCTCTCTTTTCTACTGCACCTAAAACATCCTCATCAACATTATTCAACACTACTTCTACGACATCATCATTTCTGTCCACTGCAGCGTTTCCCACTAATAATACGTTGCTTGCATCGTCGAATTTAAATAATCCATCATTGTTCACAAGTGAAACAAGTTTAAGCCGAAAACGTAAAGCTGAAACTTTAGAATCAACAGTTATAAATAAATCATTGGAACAGGAAACTCCAAAGAAATCTACATTAGAAACAAGAAAGACAAGTACAACTGTTACAGTTTCTGTGGATAATGAACGCAAATATAATATTGAGAATATTCAACCTGCAGCAAGTCGTCTTGCTATTGATTTACATTGTCATGTTCCAGCAGCAAAACGTCCTCGTATTGATCCATTTTCTTCAATTTATAATAAACTTGAAAGTGACAATACCAGCGATGATGATTTCAATGTTGGCATTAAATCGATCAAAGTTTGATATTCATCTATTTTTTTTTCGTTTAGAAAATACATCGATTTTCTTTTTTATCTATTTATAGAAAAGTCTTCTGAATTCATTGGCTGATTCATTATTAAGTCAACCCGATCTAAGAAAAGCAACAGATTCAAAACGAACAGAACTTATTCGTCTTGCTAATTTAGTTGTTGACAAAGATCCAGAATTTATTCTTAAAGTAAAACTAAAATTTAACTCGAAAATACTTTCTTAATTCGTGATTTTAGGCTGCACTGTATACACGAAATCATTTAAATATTCGTATAACAGCTAATTTTCTACTTGCCTATGCTGCATATACAGAACCATGTCGTATATTTTTAAAGAAATATTTTAAAGTGACTGTTAATTTACCATCGGATTGGATTGAAATAGCTGAACTTTATCAAACATTCTTCGATAGACGTATTCATTTCGGTGCATTGCCATCTGCATTACGTCGTGTTATGGTGAAAAAATTTGTTGATTTCGATAAATATCAACTTGCGAAATATAATAAAGAAAAAGCACGTTTAAAAAAAGCAAAAAAATCAAATGCAACAACAACTGGTGGTGCTACGCGAGGAAAATGGGGTTCTGCTCCTGGACGAGGCAGAGGAGCTAGTCGAGGAGGTCGTGGACGTCCAGCAGCTCGAGCATCTTCAACCGAATCGAATATGAGTGTAACAACAGCAGAACCCAAACCCAGCAAACAAATAAAGAAAATACTGGCACAAGTTAGCGAAGACGAACGTGAAACACGCCGAATGGCATTTACATTGAAACGGTTAATTCGTCAATTACATATCAGTGAGCCAGTCGAACATGTTTGGTGTCTATTGGGTAAACGATATCCGGAAACATCGGAACTTTTTTATCAATCACGTTTACCTGGTGTATTCGAAGCAGAACGTGCTAACAAACGTATGAAATTACCAACACCGGAAACGTAAGCACAATTTGTTTCTGTTTTTTTTGTTTTCATTGCATAAATAATGGTTTTTTATTTTGAATAGATGGGAAACACAGATCAGTCTTAAAGGCAACAAAGCTGAAGTTTGGGAAAAATTAATTGATAATAAAAAACTGCCATTTATGGCTATGTTGAGAAATTTACGAAATATGATTAAAGTTGGTATGTATTGAGAAATTCATTTTTATTAAATTTCATATCATGTGAATTCACATTATTCTCTTATTTGTTTTAAGGCATTTCTGAAAAACATCATCAATGGGTATTAAAAAAACTTCAAGATGATGGTGCCGTTATGTACAGTCGCCAATTTCCGTTTCGTTTCTTCTCCGCATATCAAATATTTGATGAACTTGAAGAAGAATTTAATAAATGGTGTGCAGCTAAAGAAACTATATCTGGAATACCTGATATTAAAAGTCGACGATTAACACGAAAAGAAAAAGGCAAAAAGACTGTTTTGACTCCACTGGAAAAAGCCAAAAAACTTGGTTCAAAAGAAATCAAATATGACCCGGCTCTATTACAACGTTATAGAAAAGCACTTGATTGTTCAGTTAAAATAGCTACTCAGCGTAATTGTCAACCAATACCTGGTCGAACATTTGTCTTTTGCAATTTAAGTGAAGCCATGCGTCAACCATGTCAAGCAGCTAAAGGTTTAGGTAAACCACGAACACGTGCTGAAATAGGCCTTTTAATGGGTTTAATGTGTAAATCGGCTTGTGAATCAAGTCAGTTAATTACTTATAAAACAAAAGATAGTTATACTGAAATTGAACAAACACCACAAGACACAATACTCAATCAAATGACAAAAATTTTAGAGGTTGATCAATTGACAACAACATCATTATCAGCAACATCCGACGTTTGTATACCGCCAGCCTTTCTTACCAATATGATTGCTGAAAAACGATGGTTTGATAATATGTAAGTCAACAAAGAGAAGAAGATGAACGAAGCATTTATAAATATGAATTTCTTTTATTTTCTAGCATTATTGTTTCCGATGGATTGAAAGCTGATACAGCTGAATCAGATTTTGTTTATCGATTTCTTTCACTTTATCGTTATTTAGTCAATCCTGAACTTATGTTTGTTAGTATTGATTTAAGTATTGCTCAATGTTCACTATCAAAATCCGATCGATTTAACAATCGAAATGATATATTTCTTAGTGGTTTTTCTGATGCAATATTACAATTTATTGCTGAACGTGGTAATGATGGACAATTGTTACATGTTGAAAATATGGATAATGCGCATGGTCTTAATAAAATCGATGAACAGAAAAAAGATTCACAATCAACAACTGACTCATCAAATGATCAGCAATCAAAAATATCAACAGATATACCAATGACAACATTAGTACCACGTTGGCGTACGGTACGTGTATTTATATCATCGACATTTAAAGATATGCATGCTGAACGTGATATTTTAACGCGTTATGTTTTTCCTGAATTACGCCAACGAGCGAAAAGTCTTTTCGTGAATCTCTATCAAACCGATCTTCGATGGGGTATAGCAGAAAGTCAATCGAATCAATCAGTTTACTTATGTCTCAATGAAGTATATCGTAGTGATTATTTTATTGGTATGGTTGGTGAACGTTATGGTTATATACCAAAATCTTATGATGTTCCAAAGGATGATACACGATTTAAATGGCTAGAAACATTACCAATAGGATATAGTATAACAGATTTAGAGATACAAGCCGGTGCATTTAATCAATCGGCATCGAAAAAACAAAATCGAGCATTTTTCTATCTTCGTAATCCGAAAGTTATTCAAGACATTCCTAAACCATGGTCTGATGATTTCACTACTGAAGATAACCATTCAAGAATAAAAATGAATAATTTAAAGCAACGTATACGTGCAAGTGGCTTTGAAACATTTGACGAGTATCCATGTTCATGGCAAGGTGTATCCAATGATCGACCACTTGTTACTGATCTTGAACAATTTGCACAACGTGTTATTGATAATCTATGGACATCGTTACAAGAAGAATATAAACCTGAATATGTTCTCTTAGATGATAATGATCTCGAAGATACTCAACATCAACAATATCGTCTTTCATTTATGGAACATTTTGTTAGTCGAAATAAAATGCTTCAAGACACAATTAAAGGTATTAGTAAAGTATCTGTTATTCTTATTACAGGGCAGCAAGGTTCAGGTAAAACAGCTGCGATAGCTGCTATCGCAAATAGTATTATGTCACGTGTGAATTCAAATATTAAATTATATGAACATTATGCTGGGATTACACGTGCATCATTGAATAGTCTTTCTATGCTTCGTCGTTTACTTTGTCAAATGATAAATGATCATTCCGAATTAGCGAGTCAATTTCCTATTGATCAAATTCGCACAAGTTCATATACAGATCTATGTAAAATTCTATACGATTTTCTTCGTATGAGAAAAAGTCTTTCAAATATTGTTATTTGTATTGATGGCGTTGAACTACTCGATAACGAAACATTAGTTCATACATTAAATTTTATTCCAAAAGATTTCAATTTTGAAAAAACAACATTTATTATTAGTGCTACTGAAGGTAGTAATGTTGAAGCAGCATGCAAAAATCTATCTAATACATTAGCTATTGACATAACAAATCTTGAAATACTTGAACGTAGTGAAATCGTTCGTAAACATCTTGATCGTTTTGGTAAGAAATTAGATGAACATGCATTTTCATCACAAATGAAATTCATTACTGGAAAACGTGATTCATTTAAACCGTCGTATTTAACATTAATATGTGAAGAACTGTTATTAATGACAGATTATGAAAAGAAAATCACGGAAAAATTAAAAGCAATTCCACAACGACAACATTTATTTTTACTGGAAATTTTCAAACGACTGGAAATACTCTTCGGCGAAACATATGTTGCAACAATCTTCGGTTTACTTTATTCAGCACGACAAGATTTAACCGAACAAGAATTACGTGATTTACTCAATATTTCATTTGATTCATCGAGAACTTTGCCTCCACCAGAAAATTATACTTACCCGATAACGACAACATCTTTACAGTTAGCAGATTTCATTTACAATTGTCATATTTTATTGAAACCACAATTCTTTGATGGACCACAAACCGTTTCCATAGCATCAAATGAAATTCGACAACTAGTGAAAACACGTTATATACAATCGAATGAACAACAATGTAATATCTATAGATTGCTTTCTTTCTATTATTGGTGCGAGGCAGCCGGACCTCAATGGACATCAATGAATATTAAAGCATTTGAACATTTACCATTTTATTTATATGCTGCCGACGAACCTAAATTATACTATTCAGTATTAACGGACCTTAAATTTCTAGCTGGTAAATGTCGTGTCGGCCTTGTTCACGTATTAATTGATGATTATGAATTAATTAAAACTGCATTACCAATTTCAACTAGTAAACCAATCTCTTCATTTAGTAGAACAAAACCAAACGTATCAAGCAATGTAAAAGATCGACAAGAAATCAATGAATTTTTTCTACAACAATACCGTTCATTTATTCAACGAAATAGTCACATTCTAGCTAGTACTCCGTCGTTGATCTATCAACAAGCATTAAATGAATTAGAAACGAGTTCTGTTTTTGTTAATATTCAACAAATACTTTCTAATTATCAGAAAAATTCAATAAATAATGATGATCATATTACGGCATTCGTTCGTATTAATAAACCAGATAATATGGAACAAATGAAATATTCAATTGAAGCTTTTGCAGAACCTATTCGATGTTTATCTGTATCACCATCAGGTAAATTAAAAAACTTCTAACCAAAAATATAATGCACGACACTTTTATTATTTCTTTTTAGGTATGTTTCTAGCTGCTGGTTCTGCTGATTGTTTAGTTCGTCTTTATAATACGTCAACATCTCGTTTATTAAAATTATTTGTTGGTCATGCTGCACCCATATCAGCTGTATGTTTTGCTGGTAATGATCGTCTAGTAAGTGGTAGTGACGATGGTGGTTTATCGATTTGGGATGTATCAAATGGTCATCGTTTAAATATACTTACACCAACACATAATAAACGAGTTTCAGAACTATGTTCAAATCAACGTGGTACACAATTTGCTTCAGTTTCATGGGATTCATATGTTCGTATATGGGATTTACAAAAAGGTCGACAAGAAACAGAAATACGTTTACATCCTAAACCAGTCTCAAGTGTTGCATTTCATCCCGATGGTTTCATGTTAGTAACTGGTTGTTGGGATGGTATTGTTCGACAATGGAATGTAGCTACTGGCCAACGTAAATCCGTTATGCGTGGACATTTAAGTTCAATAAAAGCTGTTGCTTATTCTGCTGATGGCCGTTATATTGCATCGTGTTCAATTGATGGTGAATGTCGTTTATGGAATGCTTTAACTGGTAGTCAAGTTGGTCTCATATCAGCTCGTATAAGTTCAATTTATTTTTCACCCAATGGATCAACATTAGCATCAGCAGGTAACGATGGTCGTGTACGAGTATTTTCATCGACTATTGGTCAATGCCAAATGATTATTTCTAATGAAACATGGGGCTCTGTATCGAATATAATAATTCATCCCGAAGGAGAATATATTATTGCTGGATATCATTCGGGTTCAATACGAATATTCGATATACAAAATGGTACTACCGAACAAGAACTTCATTATCATCAAGGTCGTATTCATCGTCTTGGATTTGCACCATCATCCGGAAACATTCTTATATCAGCATCGGGTGATAGCTGTTCACGCATTTACGATTTGAAAGATTTAGGTACACGTACTGATCTTCGCGTTCAAACTGCAACACTCAAAGGTCACACAGCAGCTGTTCTATCATGTGCTATTGGTACAACGAAAATCATCGCAACAGGTTCAGAAGATGCAACCGTATGTATTTACGTAATATCACAATATTTTGAACGTTCATCATATGAACCAACTCAAATTGTAACTGAACATCGTACACCAGTAACAGGTATAGCATTTAACAATGAAACAAATCAATTGATAACAGCTAGTCGTGATGGTCAAGTACATATATGGGCTATCAGTCGATATTCAACCAAATCTGTTGTAACACTTTCGAATACACTTGCTCATTGTCATGCTGATTGGATTAATGATATTGCTTTATCCAATACAAATAATGGTTTGCTTGTAACTGCATCAAATGATAATACATTAAAAATTTGGAATACTCTACCGAAAGTAGCAAAAACTGATGGCGATTCTATGGATGTTGTTTCAGCTGAGGTTGAAGAAGCTCGTGTAACACTTCGCGGCCATCAAGCTTCGGTTAATGCAGTTTGCTTTTCATATGGTTGTGTTGTTTCAGGTTCATTAGATAATACTGTTCGAGTATGGTCTCATAAAGGTACTGAAATAACATGTTTACGTGGTCATACAGAAAAAGTAACTTCATGTGACTTATGGGTAAAATTGAAAGGTGTCGATTATAAAAATGAAAAGGATACAGATTCGAACTGGGGAAATATAGTCGAAGAACAAGAACGAGGACTTTCACGTACAACACATACAGTTGATACAATGCTTGTTGTTAGCGCATCAGAAGACGGTTCAGTACGTATATGGCGTCCAACAGATCCTGAACAGCGTTGTGTTTATGATGCACATGCACAACCATTGAATGATATTGTTGTTAGCAATGAATCAATTCTAACATCATCACTTGATAAAACAGTGCGTTCGTGGCAAATTCCAATGAATGCATTTACAAATTATGATTCAACATCATCAGCAATGACACCTCAAATAGCTCAACCGGTTAGTCATTTAGATGAAGTTACATCGATTTGTGTCTCGCGTGATAATTCTCTTGTTTTTACTGTTTCACGTGATGCACATCTATTCATTTGGTCATTATTATCAACGAAAAATGATGATTACGATATGGATACAGACATGCCAAAGACTAAAATGTCTAAACAACCGTTTCATATTATACAATCAATCAAAGCACATGAGGAAACCATTCTTGGTATGGCTTTAGTTCGTTCTGACGCTCAACATCATTGTCTTGTAACTGGTTCGGTTGATAAAAAAATAAAAATTTGGACAGTTACAAATAATAAAAACGAAGATAAATGTTCAATAAAACGTTTAAAAACTGATACAACAATAAGTGGACCTGTTTCATTTGTTGCCGGCCAATATGACATGCCATATTTTGTTGTTGGTGAAAATCAATCATTCGATTCGCTTACATTCCATCTTTATTCATCATCTTCATTGGAACGCTTAAAAACATATAAGACAGCAACATGTCATTGGCCATTATCATCTTTCCTAACATTAAATGAAAATAACCATTGCATTTTAACAATTGGCTCGACAAGTCATGAACTATGCTCATATGATTTATCATTAGTTCATTCAACAGATAGCAAATTATTTGCATCTTACACATCGAAAATTGAATATCGAACATCAGTTCCATCGGAATGGATAACATCAATTGAAAGTCTTGATAACAAACAAATATTTTACTTGGGTACAACAAATGGAAATCTTTTTTCGACATCAAACTTATTTAGTGACATACAAACATGGAATAGAAGTCGTATATCGTCAAAACCACGAGCAATTACAGGCCTGTGTTCGATCAATAATGAATTTATATTTACAAGTGGCCACGATAATGTCATTCGAGTACAGTATAGAAATGATCATTCAAAATTGATGAATACAAATGATAATGATTCATCAGTACATGAAGATATAGACGATATCCTTGGACAATATCCTGTACCAGCGCCTATTACACAAATGCGTGCGTGGAAACAAAGTAACAATGGAATATTTGGTGTTGTAGCCGGTGATACATTAGGCAATCTCTATCTTATACAGTGGTATTCGTCTTGACTGTGATTAAATATTGTCCTATATAGTTTATTATGAGTGTTTCTTACTATTAGTATATTGACTACGCTGACTACATACTTACTTCTGTATCATGAAGCTATATTTTGTTTTAAATTTCAATAAACATGGTACAACAAAAAGCATATATCAATTCTCTTAATTTTAAGCGAGTCAAGAGGATGACAATGAAATTGAATAATAGAAATTAATAGAAAGATATACATATTTATATGATAGATTCAAGATACGAACTTGGATTTGTTTTAAAAATTCATAAAATCATATGAAAGTTGTTTGTAGTGAAGAAGTTGAATTGAGATAGTATACGCCTCTCATCTATGCTTTGACTATCGTTGATTTGCTGACAGAAAATTGCCGTTAGGAGAAGAACTATCAGTTGCATGTAAAAGATCTGACTGATATCCAACTATTAAAAATCCCTAAAACTACTTTTTAATAGTATCAACATTAATATTTACGAGAATTTGTCTCAGAAGAATGACAAAAGCTCTAGACATGCATGGGGGGAGTTGAATTCAAAACGCTACTCGAAAATCTTTTATTTTGCCATTGAATTTCTTTACTAATAGTAATCGTATCGGTCGATATTTTCTACTATAGCTACTAACTTATTGATGATTTACATAAACTTTTTAACCTAAGCAATTAGAATTTTCGTTATCAGAAAAAGTAAACAAATAACTCGCGTGTGAAACAAATCTTTATAATCGTAAACATACAATTGAATCATTTGTTACCGATTCGACTATTCCTCATCATCCTTTTTATTAAACAATAATTCATTTTTTGCGCAGTAAATAGTTTCGATTGAATTTTTTTTCTAAATGAACAATAAAGATATTCCTAATGAAGAGTCAGACGAGAAAAATTCATCTAATTTAAAACCAACATCGAAAATTCTCGAAAAAAAAGATGACCGTATTTTAAAGCAAGTTCCTCTTCAACTGCATTCAGCTCAACAAGAAATAAATAATTTGCGTCTATTAAATATTTGTCTTCAATCAACCTTAATTCGTGTTCAAACTCAATTAATTGAATATTTACCAGTTAATATTCATGATGAAATAAAACGAAATCAAACAAAACAAAAATTAGTTTTATTACGTCAAACCGATGATCATAGTCGACGAATAATTCATTCTCAGCAAATATCTTTTCTTCAATTAATTAATAATTTTAAAAATCTATTAGATTTTAATCAAGAAAAAGTTCCAAATAAAGAAATTCCAATAGCAAAAAATGAAAAACAAATTGATATTTTACACGAAATGTTTAACGAATTGAATACTATAATACATACTGAACATAACGATAGAATTTGTCAACTCTATATAACATTAGCAGAAGCATCTAGTTCAGTAGTCGATGCACGTGAAAGTAAAATTCATACATTTTTCAAGAGAAAATGATCCGAAAAGAAAAACAAACTCTATTTCTAGTTCTTGATCAAACCATTCATGCACATGGAATCATAACACAACGAAAAATAAAACGAACAATTTTTTATATATGTATTGGATTTACTTTTATTTCAATATTTACATTTATTATTATAATATCTATTCGAATGCATTAAAGAAATCCTGCCATTTGTTTTTGACTTCGATATGTTTTTATTAATTGTATAATATTCATAAGTACACTAAGAAGAATTAATATAATGCCAATAATTACAATATATAAACTATCAGACATGATCGTATAATACGCGCGTTTAATTATAATGTTAATTTTTATCTTACTATGTATGATAGACCTTTACGAATGATTATAATTCTTGTTCGAGGATATGGATACGTTGGATAGTTAACAACTGTAGAGAAAGTAAAACATATATTTGACATATTTTTAAAATTTTGAACTTACGTTTCATCTTTTTTAAAATAAGAAGCCATTTTTCGTTTGCATATGAGACATGAAACTAGAATAATAATTGTTTTCTTGCTTCAGAAAGATTTTCTTTTGCTATGAAAGATTAGACTTACACGAGAACCAATTGGATGACTAAAATATCCGGCGTGTACACGAATAAATTGTTCGATTAGGTTCGATAAAAAATGTTTTTTGGATCGTTTAAAATAATTTAAAAGACGACGTAATACGCTTGTTCTAAATGTTATTTCAATACGTTAAAAGTTTATTTTTGAAAATCTATCTTTTACTTTCGATGTATTGAAAATTGTAGTTCAGATATCCATGGATGAAGGGGAGTAGGTAGCTGAATAACACTTTTATAGAGCGATAGAGTATGAATATTGTGGTCTATTTAATAATAATTAATAAATAATCTTGCAAAAACCATCATTTACCGAATTCTTGATATTCAACGCAATCGAAATAGACATCTAATAGATAAAAAATAAAATTTTCTTATCATCATTTAATAAACTTACCTTTTTCATCATCCATTGAATGTTTCTCTAAAAAATAATTTTAATATTAATACATGATACTGAGGACTATGCAATGTTCAAAAAAAAACAAATGTTTTGTTTGCACAAAGTCCGCTAGCATATAGAAGAGCTTTAGCATTTAGGCGAAAAAATACAAAATTTATTCCTTTGATGTTTTATCACAATTTTCTTTGTTTCAGAGAGCTTTTGCTCGGCATTGCCATCAGTTTGTCTCAAGTATTTTTTACCATACACACACCTTTGTCTTGTCAATATTTCTAAACACATGGTAAATAAAGGAGCCTACATCAAGAAATTTAGCTGAGAAAATGCTTCACCAACAAAAAGGATAGCAGCTGTTTCTGACGTATTTATATATACTGTATATATATGCAATGATTTCTTCATTTCATATGAATTTAGGGTCATATATCACTAAAAATATAATCATAACTGGTGATTTCAATGCATCCGTAAAAGAATGGGGTAGCACGTCGGCAGATAAAAGAGGAAGAGTTTTGAAAGAATGGGTGGAGAAAAACAATCTTTGTGACATTCCCTCATTATCAAATTCTTCAAAACGTTCGAATAGAAACATTGATTTAACATTTACAAATTTAGGAGGAACAAAGGGAGAGACTCTAAAGATGGGTACCAGTGATCACTGGCCAATAATGATAACTTGCGAGAATTTAGTATTTGATAAGAATAGTATTTTTCCCACGTACATTGGAAGGCATATGAAGCCATTCTTACGTTGTTACAAGAATTTTGGCAAAAAAGGAGCAGATTAGAGGGATGCCAGTGGATGATTGGTATATGAATTATGTGCGCTTTCTTGCTGCTTTAAAAAACAGACTGACGCAATGGAAAGGAAAAGAAAAATTCCGACCAGCTCTACCTCCTTATCTTATTCAGAAGCTGCAAGAAGTGAAACGAGTCAGAAACAAAATATTACCGAGAGAGAAAAATATGTATTATAAATGAAGAAACAAGAGTGCTACTGCGGGTGTTAACACGTGAAGTAAAAATTTAAGTTGCAAAATATAAGACGGGTAAATGGGGAGAAATTCTGTCAAAAATTCAAGAAACAAATGACAATAAGGAGCAAGCGTTTTGGCTTTATCTCTCGCAAATATATAAACATAGATCACTACCGTTTTCGAAGCTAGATACCGACACAGCAATACTTACGAACGAGAATGAAATCAAGGATAAACTTTATCGATACTACTCGGAACAATGTCAAACTCCAAATACAGATATGTCAGATCCTTACGAAGTACAAATTGATATAGAATATTTAGAACTGATGAATAAACTAGCATTGTTTAATGAAAATGTCGAAACAACAAACATTGTCAAAAAAAAGAAACACATATCGAGGTTGAAACTAAAAAAATCATGTGGATTCGATGCAGTGTCGAATTATATGATCAAAAGAATTCCACCAGGCTATATTAATTGTCTAGCAAATTGCTTTAATACTTGGTTAAAAGAATATAGGTATCCAGATGTTTGGAAATTAGCTAAAATAATTACATTGAATAAACTTAAAGCAGGAGTACCTCGTTGCGAGCAAACACGACCAATATCACTTTTAGCAACACATTCCAAACTTTTTGAGAAAATTATGCTAGATAGAATAAGACTATGGGATAAAACTAATAGTTTAGTTCCAATCGAACAGTCGGGATTTCGTCCAGGTTGTCTTCTCCCTACCAGAGTTCTATCTATATATCAAGAAGTCAAAAACAATATGACAGCAAATATTCCAACGCTAGCAATTTATGTAGACTATCAAAAGGCCTACGATAAAGTGTGACATAAAGGTCTTATTGTAAAACTCAACAGACTCAGTATTCCTTTAGGACTATTAAAATTAATTGTATCGTGGTTAAATGATCGCCGTGCATATGTTATTTTTGGAGAGAACAAGTCAGATATATTTTACACTTATGTTGGTCTGCCTCAAGGTAGTAGTTTAAGTCCTTATCTGTTTATCGTCTATCATTGTGACCTAGTTGCATGTGTAGGTGCTCATTCTAGCCACATATTTGCGGATGATCTCAACATACTCATATCTCCACCAATATGCCGAGAAATAAAGCCAATGGTTAAGTTTCTAGAAGAGGAAGGAACCAAAATGTGTAACCTAATAGCAAACTATTCGAAAAAATGGAAACAATCAGTTAATGTGTCTAAAAAAGTAGCACAGATTTTTCACTNGCTATTTGGTTACAAATCATTGTCCTGGGAAATAAAGTCAATGATTAAGTTTCTAGAAGAGGAAGGAACCAAAATTTGTAACCAAATAGCAAACTATTCGAAAAAATGGACACAATCAGTTAATGTATCTAAAACCGTACCTTCTTAATTGCGGACACTTTTCACACCAATTAGTGAGAACTGGCCGCATCTTGGAATGATTGAATATGAACTATCTCATTTTTGTCGTGTTTCCAAAAAGCGGACACTTTTTTAAATTATTGTATTATTTTGTAAAGTAACACTTTGAGTACAAGATTTATTTGTACAAACGTATAAAGATGCACCTTTTTGAGTTTCACGTTTCATTCGATATAAGTAATTATTATACAATATTGCTTTTTTCACCCTTTTGGGTTGTTGAGAAAGTAAAATTTGTATTGTATCAAATGAAATATCCTGTTATTTCTCATCGTTTTATAAGTTCATCAATCATACATATCTCATGATCTTATTTCACAATAAATAATTAATTAAAAAAGTGTCCGCTTTTTGGAAACGCGATAAAAATGAAGTAACCTATATTCAATTATTCCAAAATGCGGCTATTTTTCACTATTTGGTGTGAAAAGTGTCCGCAATTAAGACGTAGCCAATTGTATTGTTCTCTCTTCTGCATGTTTAAAAGTTCATTGCCGTGATAATTAAACAGCTGTAAATTCTTACGAAAACTCTTGTAAGCACTTCCGAGTGTAACAATAAAAGAGCGAAATTTAAAAAAAGAAAAAATTTCATATGAATAATTATATTGGAATAATTTCAATATTCACTTGAGCCGGAATTACAGTCGAATCGAGAAGAAAATTTCGCAGTTGAGCTATTGCTTCTTTTGCTATGACTATTAATATATTACAAACTTGTAATCAATACTATTAGCAACTAAATTGTGTTTCACATTCTAATTTGACAGGATGAATTAACGATTTTTCAAGATGAAATCATTTAAACGTATTCATACAATGCTGCTTACTTACAATGCAATATTAAAGATGAATGAGATATTATAGACGGCATTACTATCGTTTACATATACCTACATTATAAACTGAGCCTTATCAGATATATACGTATATACACATTGTAAATCATTTTCTCCTGTCGATGATTATCATAGCATAATAAAAAAAAAAAGAATAATGATTCTGTTACGCGAAAACTCTACTCATTCACTTTTCTCATCTTTCGAACAAAAACAACAAGTGTTAATTCTTTCTTTATTTCATTAGAATTTAATTATTTTATACAAATGAATGACTTGATTGAAATGGAACTGATTCTACTGCATTTGGTCTATCATTGAAATCTATTGATTTTATTTTAGAATAATCATTTGGTATTGATACTACAGGTAATGATCCATTGTACGCATTAGTAGATGGATGAATATCATCGATTGAACTTTATTACTCTAATTTTTCATTATAATTTCTATAAATCATATAAATGTGGCGAACTAGGGGATATCTCGGATGTCCGTACATCATTCAACTCATCGTCATCATAATTCATAACCGGATGAGGACTAATCAATTGTATATCATTGAACTTTTTGTAATCATATCCACTCAATGTTGGATTACAAGGTGAAAATTCATAATCCCATAAAAGTTCATTAGGTAAATAAGATGTACGATAATGACATGAAAATCCAGTATGATCAAAGCAACCTTCAATAATAGCAATTATTTCAAAATGTTCTTTTTCTAATGTTGATCGTTGTATGCCATAGAGAGGACTACGCGAATTAATAATATGTTCAACAATAGTTGGCCGAGGAAAAAATAATTGACCATTGCAAAGATGTGCTAATTCCATATCGTAGATTTGATGAGGAATAATTTCACCTTCAAGTGTTCGCCGTTGACGAATCATTAATAAACGAACACTTGCAAAAATCAATTGGGAAGTAGACAAATTCACTAGAAAGAAAAACTAAGATAAATCTATAATTGTTATAGGTCATTCAATATAGACCTATACGAAATGTTAAAGTCAATTGATTATTTCGCAGTGCGATGAGCGCATAATTGCTAAATACAATAAACTGTGAGTTTCCTAAAAAAAAATAGTACAAAAATTTAAAACCTTTGATCTTTGTCAAATATATAAGCAACGATCAAAAACGAAACCTACCTTTACCGGTCGGTCTTGATAATTTAGTGAAAACAATTTGTGTAACAATAACTTGTAGCAAATATCCAAGTGATGATTGAAGAGTCAATATAAGTATTCCACCCATACATTCTGTTGTTATATATCTCGAACCATAACCAATTGTATGTTGAGTTTCAATGGAAAAAAGTAGTGCGCTTAAAAAATTGCGTACATCTTGAACGCATTTTTCTCGTTCTATTTTTGAATATGAACGTGTTGAATTCAGTTGATTGTCTAATGATTTCTGTTCTTCGTTTTTCAATACAAAATCACCGTGCTCAATGGAAATAAGAAAATACAGTAATGCAAAGAAAAACCAGCTTATTATAAAACTAAGCAAAACAAATATTAATACAAGCCACCAGTCCGTTTGCATTATAAATAAAACGAAATTTGAATGGATATGTTTTACACGTCCAAGTGAAAAATAACTTATATTTATATGACCATTCTTATCCACAAAACGAAATCCATGTGTTGATGTCCTATCTGTAAAATTGACATCCTTCGTCTTTGTAATATGATATTTTGTATGGTAACGATTGATGAAATCCATGAGTTCTAATAAAACTCAAGTTTTATTTTGTCAAATATTGTATTTGATAGGATCCAAATAAATGGATATATAATTTGTTAACTTCTTAATTTCATATCTACACATCTGTTGGTTAAAGGTATTTTCATGGATTTACCTTGATTACCTATGCATTTTATCCGATGTGTTTCATCTTTTTACAACAGGTTATACATTCATAACTGACATTTGAATTACAAAAAAAGCTTGATTGTACATATTGATATTGATGTGTCCTTCTGTTCATAGTAAACACAAGTCACCTGGCTAGTTTTTTTTTTCTTTTTGATTTTGTCCTCTTTATTATTGCACTCGGAAATGTTTGCAAGTATTCACAACTGTTTAGTTATGCAATCGCACATTGCTATCGTACATAAAAAGAGAAAGGAACAAGGTAAGAAATAGATTCGTAATTTACCATCGGTGGCAAATAAAATATGACGAGAAAAAATGAAGAGAAGACAAAAGAAGTGATATGAAGAAAGAATAGCATACGAAAGTATAATAGGTTTCATATGGATAAATATTCAAGGCAGAGAACAAGCAATAGTTGCTGCCTTGAACCCTTGTTGCATTTGTTTTATTCTATATAAATAACCACTGGGTTCATTTTTACTTTTATGAAATCTATCCGAATGGGTATATCATTATAAGATGAATTGACTAAATCAATATTTGCTTTTTTTCCTTCTAATTTGTCTAGTCTCTCTTTTATATAATCTACTGATGACATAGCATTTGTACTTTAGATATTCGTACAAAATGAGAGCAAAGAATAAATCTTATTTGATCTCTGAATTTTCACAAGAGCGTATATATTCCAAATAAAAATGATTACATCTTATATTGCGTATGGCAGAGTTAAAGAAAAATTGAACGCAGACGTTAAGAACGATTGTATCTAACTTATATAATACCATGTTTGATGTTTTTGTTCATCACAGATATGTTCCTAGTGAGAAATTTTTGCTTCTCTTTCGATTTCGTGTGTTTTTTTTTCAGCAATAATAAAATGCGCGAAATTTGTAGACTATTTATTAATATTTGTCATTCTAACAACTTTATAAGAACATAAGCTATGTTTCTCACAAGCACTCATGACTGATCACAGACTAATCGAAGAATAATATTCTCGTCTTTCAAATTTCTACTTCTTTTGTGTTGACAACAGTCATACTTAAAGTTCTACTCGGTTCCTAGTTTGCAATATTCTATTTAGTAAATGACAAGTAACTTGGCATCCTAAACTATTGGATTGATATCTATGTTAATGTGTTATACATCGTCACTTTGATATGGAACATGTTTCCATTCATCTAGAACAATATTACTTTGACATCGTAATTAGCGATTGTTGATAGTTGTAATCAAACTGATGCTAGTAATAGATACACATTTTAAATATAGCTGACATTGTACTAGTTGCGTACACGCAAGAGTATGGAGATATTATAAATGCTAAAAATAATTAAGTTCCTAATGTGTATTAAGTGTTAAAAAGGAAATTTCCATAAACATAAAGAATCATTTGTTATTAATCATGTGAACGCATTATGAGAAGGATGATGATGATGTTTAAAATAGGAATATCAATAACTCTTAGTAGGCGTCCTTTTGGAAGAGAAGCACGTCTGAATCATTTGACTGTTGTTTATTTGAGAAGGAATTTACCAAAAAAACAACATTTCAATTTAACATGATTTTCGGATGTATTTCATGATTCTTAAATACAATATCATTGTGTAAGGCTTATTGTTTATTGTATTTTCAACGGTTCCTTCTTCTTTTGTTCGGTGCGTAATGTTTTCAATGTACGATAGAAAACATGAGATGCAAGCTACTTTTTTTAAACTTGTTTTGCGAAAAATCTAGTTAAAACAAGCTTAGAGAGCAAAAACATCTCAATGTGTAGATGAAAATATAGTTAACTTATAGAAGCGTTTGTTTGTTTTCACTTTCAAACTGACAAAGTAGATGTAATACGTGCTGTTTGTCTATACTATTAATGTAACAGATTCTATCATGGAAGTAAATTTTTGTATAAAACATCTTTGTAAGAATGTTTGTTTTTGACTAGGGGGTTGGAATATTTTATTACAGAATATTTACTAATAGAAGATAAATATGCAAACACTTCAGTGTAATCGCTTGCTCGTGCCCTTTTTCTTGATAAAAAGCCTCACATGATAAAATTGTTTCGGCAGCGATGGCCACTCAAAAAGCATGAGTCAGCAGTATTTTTCATACGGATCTGAAATAGAATCTATGGATCTTGTAACTATACACTTTGTTTCTGAGATTAAAATGTTGATTTCTAAAAATACAAGGAAACTTCTAATAACCGGTCACTTTTATTTTATTTCTCACGTTGATGAGCAAGCGAGAATTTTAAATTTATAAAAAGTTAAAAGTTTTTAAAATACAAGGAAAATAACAAAATCTCACACAATATGACAACTCAATTATATTTTACTAGCCAAGAAAGTCTTCTAGTTTGGAGCAAAAACGAACGAAAATTTAAAACAAAATCATTAGATTCAAATTTTTCTGTCAATCGAAATTCAATGATCGACTCTGTTCCAGTAAAATATTTTCAGATCTCCAATCACAATCATATCTAGATCGGATGATGTACTGGTGCCATCTATAATTAATTTAGAAAGTCACAGTAGAAAAATTGTTCCTTGTTGACTTCGAGAATTATCAAAACTGGGATATTGGAATAAAACTTTTAGACATATCAGTTAGAATATTTTCACGAATACTCGTTCTCTGTGTATGTGCGTATTTCAATAACACGAGTGGTCGATTCTTTTTTTTCTTTCTGCAATCAAGGAAATTCATTCATTGAGTACGTTGGCCAATAACAATGATTGATTAGAAAAAGAGTCAATCAAAATGAGGGTACATAAAGACACAAATAAAGTTTGCAATGGAGTTAACACATGCAAAGATATCTATTCTGTCAGTTAAGGAAATAAACAATTATTTTATTTCTTTAACTTGATTTTTATTTATTATTATTATTTTGTATTACAGATCTATTTTTTTTCTATTTTCTTTCTTCTTGTTTATCATCATAATTTTTATAACTATGACCTACTGAAATCTACAAAAAAAACTCGTATTATGTCACTCAATAATCGATTTTTTTCACGCTTTTTTTCTCGTTTTCAAACAATGAATAATGACCGTCGAGTTCATCAACTTGTTAATACAGAAGATGAAATAATTGCTGATGATTCAACGGAACAATCAGTTGTTGAAGAACAAAATCTCGTTTCTCAACCGACAGTAACAAGAGCTCATTCATTAACATCATCTATATTAAAACGATACGAACGAAATTATATTTCGGCATCATGCAGTATGTTTGCTATAGCTGCATTAGCAGTCAGTCTGTCTGATTATCGATGGTTCTGGTTAAACGGTGGCTTGTGCAATTCAAAATATATTGGTTTAAGCATGTTTTTTGCAGTTGGAAAATTATTTGTTGTCCGAGCACCCGTACCATGGGACCCATCAGCAGCTATGAACGATATATATCAATTTAAACCGAATGATTATATGGGTAAATTTTAACAAAAAGAAAATACAACAAGAGACAGTGTGTGGATTTTTTTTCTTATAGAATTAATTGGTTGTGTTGATACACGTTCAATATTAATTCTTCGTCTAATGATAACATTGATTTGTTTAGCGATATTTTCTTCAACGATTGGTTTTTTATTGGATGCACTTGGGCCGATGAAATTCGGACTAAAATTTATGAGGCGTCATGCTTTTTGGCATATTTTGTCAGGTAAAATAGTTTTTTATTTTTGATAAATCATTGTTTTTATTTTTGCTTTCTTTTCTAGTTCTTCTTTGTACAGTAGTTACCGGTCTATGTTTTTGGACGTCGGAAATAATTTATGATATTCAAGATAAAACTCGCTCGAAAATGGGAAAAAAGGTGGAAGTACAATTTGATGTCGCTTATTATCTTGTTGTCATATCAAGTGGTCTTTCATTATTAGCTTCTGCTTTTGCATTATTAAGACGATATCCAACAGCTGAAGAAGAACATTTAGAAAGGTGAAAATATTAATCATTCGAAGGCAACATTCTTTTGACGCAAATAAAAAAACAGGATTATCTATCGAGCATATATGAAGCGGGATAGAAATGCATTCTTTCAATAGACAATATTGTCTGAAGATAATTTCGAAAGTTTGATACATTCCCTAAGACAACTACTAACTACATTTTTATGGTGAAGGTCAACTTGACTTAAAAGTTCTTGCGCTCAATGATTAAACCTTTCCATCCTATGCGGTATGGTTTATGTTATAAACATATTAGATACTTCCAAGCTGATCCTTTGTTGTAGTTAGTATTGCTAAATTTTGATTTTCATCTAACAGAATCTTCTTTGAGTAATGAAATATGCTGGAAGATATTATTTAGATGAGTAGTATTTTGAAAAAGATTGGATATCGAGTATTTTGATTAATTTTTTTTGTTTCGCGAAACAAAATTATAGACAAACATAAGAATAGTTTTCTTAAGAATTTCTAAAATTATTTCAGTAGATAAATCATCAAGATTTTCTTACTGGCAAGATACGTGACGTCACAAAAATAATTCATAAGCCAATCACATGTTTATCAATAAAAATGTCGTGTCTCCGGAAGAATTTGAAACAGAAAAATAATAAGTTGATTTCTATTTTTTTTTCTATTTAATTAGACTAATCGATGATTGGTCACGACGTGAAGAACCCTTATTCATTGAACGTGCTCTACCGGCGTCAATATCAACAAGTGATGAACCACCACCAGATTATTCTGAACAGAATGTTATTGTAGTTTGAACAAGTATTTTTTTTTTGGAGAATCTCTATATATTAAACAGTGATTGTATCTACAATAATTTTTTCTCATTCTTTTATATTTGTATGTAATTAACTGAAAGCTCTTCTCTTTTTCTTTTTGCTGTAATTAAAATATTATTTACACATCGTAGTTACTGAGGGAAAATGAATAAATGCAAATAAAAACAGTTAAAAATATTGTATAATGATTGAACGATCATATTACTAACATCATATTTGCGGTTTTTTTTTCTTCTTTTGTTCTGTAGATGATGACAATATCTTATCGAAGCATTAAGGTCATGTCTTAAATATAATTCTTTAACGATTATATAATATATCAAGTGCCTATGTGTCACCACTCATCATGGTTCTTTCTGAAAAACAAAAAAATGAACTGTAAGATTTTATTTTACTTTTCTACTTAATAAATAAATAAATTCTACTTTTTTTTAGTAATCAAGCCATAGCTGATTATCTATCCACTAGTGGTTATACGATATCCTTTAAAGAATTTTGCAGAGAAGCAAATATTGTATGAAATCTTTTTAATAGAATAAAACAAGAACTAGCTGATTTATTCATTCTTGTTTTAGTCTAACAATGAAAGTGCCGAACGAAAAGATCAACTGGAGAAAAAATGGACTTCAGTTATACGACTACAGAAAAAAGTGAGAAAAAAAGTCAACTTGCTTTTCTCCAGTTATTAATATTATACTTAAATGATTTTTATTTATCAAGGTTATGGATCTCGAATCAAAATTACAAGAAGCCCTACAAGAAGCGACAACTGGTGGACCTACCCGAGAAAAACGTCAGCCTAACGAATGGATACCTAGACCCCCCGAAAAATTTGAGTTAAAAGGTCATCGTGATACAGTGACACGTGTTGTCTTTCATCCAACTTTCGACATCCTTGCATCAGCTAGTGAAGATGCAACCATTAAAGTATAAATTATTGATTTAATGAATAATAGTTGGCACCTTGTTGTTTTTTTTTCTATCACTACTAGATTTGGGATTATGAATCGGGAGAACATGAACGAACATTGAAAGGTCATACAGCGCCGGTGCAAGATGTTTCTTTTGATCATACAGGCAAATGGCTTGGTAAATCAATAGAAATTGTCAAGAGAACAGGAAAAGAAAATTCTTATTTTTTGTTTAGTATCATGTTCGGCTGATATGAGTGTTCGTTTATGGGATTTTCAAACTTATCAATGCGTTAAAACTATGCATGGTAAGCATGAAAAGATGAGTAAAAATTCGTAGTTGAATCTGATTTTATTTTAGGTCATGATCATAATGTATCTTCGGTTACATTTACTCCAAGTGGTGATCATATTATATCTTCTAGTCGTGATAAAACGATTAAAATCTGGGAAGTATCGACGGCGTAAGTTTCATTTTCAATAAATAAAATAACTCTAGTTTATACATTACATTATTTATCCTAGAGAGTCAAAGGTAGTTTTAATTAAAATAAAATAAAAAACGAAGCATGTCAAAATTTATCATGTGAATCTATACTTGAGATAGTGATTTTAAAATGATCATTTCACTTCGTTAAGAATGTACAAGACTAAAAATTGTATTTTGTGCTCCAAATGAGAAAATTTAGTCCTGCACATTTCTACACTTAACATTGATATAGAATAAATACTTTAGAAAAAAATTCGAACTATCTTTTTTTTAATAGATTCTGTGTGAAATCTCTTGTTGGCCATCGAGAGTGGGTGCGTATGATACGTGTTTATCAAGATGGTACATTATTAGCCAGTTGTTCCGTCGATCATGTATGTTGATTGAACATCTTCATGATATTAAATGTTAAGATTGTTTCTTTTCTAGACTGCACGTATATGGTCGTTGCCAAGTGGTGAATGTAAAACTGAATTACGTGGGCATGAAAATGTTATTGAATGTATTGCATGGGCACCAGATTCGGCCGGACCAAATATAAATGAATCGGTGTTCAATGGTGGATCTGAAGTATATTTCTTTTCATTCATTTCTTCTTGAAAATATTTCATTTTTTTTATTAGATTTCAAAACGATCCGGTCCTTATCTCGTATCCGGTGCACGTGATAAGACAATCCGAATGTGGGATGTAACCAATGGTCTATGTTTATTCATACTCGTAAATATTTCATTTATCAAAATAGAATATTTGTTTTATAAATTGGTTCATTTCTATTAGACTGGTCATGATAATTGGGTTCGTGGTCTTATCTTTCATCCAGGTGGAAAATATCTATTGAGTTGTTCTGACGATAAAACGCTACGTGTATGGGATATTAAAAATAGACGAAATACAAAATCCATTGAAGCTCATACTCATTTTTGCACTTCACTTGGTAAAATAACATTTTTTCTATTGATTTCTGAGCTCTAAGACATTTTTTGTTTTGTTTAGATATGCATCGAAATAAACCTTTTGTGATTACGGGTAGTGTTGATACATCAGTTAAAGTATGGGAATGTCGTTAAAACCTCCTAATAGCAGCATTAATAGACTTGCCGATTGTTTTTTGTTCTTTCCAACTTCTCCTTATCGATTTGTATTCCTTTATTTGCGTGATGGAAATGTCTACTATTATTTATTTTCTTGTTCTTTCATGTATCTGCTACTGATGCAATAGCTTTTTTTCTTCTCTTTAGTCATACATACGCATATATAAATATATATACATAAATTACTGAGAGAACTAAAACAAAACATATTTAACTAACAGGAGACAAAAACAAACAATTTCCTTTTGATATGTGAACGAACAAAAATAAAATCCAGCACACAAAATGCATTTTTTTTACACAGCTTTCTTTTTCTCTCTATTTTTGAAACAAAAAAACGACATATGAACGAGAAAAGAAAGAAAAAAGTGTGTGAATGAACTACTTTGTTTTCTTTTCTTCCCACGTTGCTTGTGTATGTCTGTTGATTTTACTTATGTGTGTATGTGTACGCACTGTTTGTTTAGGCTCGTGCTCTCTCTCTCTCTCTCTCTCTTTTTTTTTTCTTTTTTCTTTGTGTGCATTGATTGGTTATCTTCATTTTGTTTTTTTGCTCTGTTCACTTCTTTTTCGCTCAAATACAGTACAGAAGCTCGAAAAAAAAACTATATTTATTTGACATGAATACCAGACAACATAAATGTGTATATGAGATTAAGAGAGAAAAGTTCATTTAACTTTTATGTAGAAGCCAAATACATGTTTGACCAATTCCTGTCATTGAAAGAACACGATAGCCAAGTTTTTCAAGCTTATCAAGAACAACCCGTGCACAATCATCGGTACGATATTCTGAACTAAAATAGACAAACCATAATGAGAGATTGATAGACAGTGAGTAATGAAATTAGGAAGCGAAATCTAATTTCAGCCCCTTCCCCCTCCCGTGATATCATGAATAATTGAAATAGTGTGTTGAGTGGAGAATTGTTTTCAACAAGAATATTCAATCGAATATAATTATTATTAGAATGTCTCGAAATAGAATCTTCATTAATATCTTATTCAATACATTCTTCCCATGGATGAATTGATAGAAGTGATACGATCATCAAAGTGTACAACGGAATAAACTCAATATTTTTTGGATCTATGATTTAGAAAATTTTCAAACTTCTGTTACTCGATACAACAAAACGGTAGATTAATATCAGCAAAACATATCTGTTTAAAACCTGCTCAAAATATGAATCAGTCTGTTATAAAATAAGATTTTTTTCTTACATAGAAAATAACGATATATTGAAAGAAACATTAAATATAGAAATAAAGCGACAAAAATTTATTTTTACTCATTACTATTCAGAATGAGAACACATCCGTTGGAGAAATATTAAATTAATATTATTTACATTTTGTATTTATTCATTAAATGATAAAAGCTTTGAGCACAATCCCTGTGGCATTAAAATGTGAAACATGATGCAGCTGCCATTGCTTCTCATAGACAGATTGTCTTATTCTATCTATATCGGAACACATTGCTTTGCTCTTCTTTTATTTATTCCTTCAGCAATGCAATAAGAAAATCGGGAATATATTCTAACGAGCCGCTATTGATATACTGACTCTGATCATGCACATAAACAATTTATGTAAAAACTTCTAGGGGTGCAAATTTCTATTATATTTACATTGGCACCTGCTTTAGATTGTTTTGAACTTAATATTTATGTTGACTTACAAATTGTTCCATTTTTCGTGAAAATATTTAGCACCTAAATGTGCCATGAGTTCCGGATCAGATTGTTCATCACCGACCACAGTTGGACCTGATTCAAGGCGAATTCTTGTGCTAACAAATAAATAGGGCATATCTAAAAAATAGACTATATATTTTTATTTTGAAGAACCAAAAAACGGAAGTTTAGATAAAATAGTTTTTTCTTTTTTTAACAGTTCAACAATAGTTGCAAAATCGTATCGCTCTTTTGGATTTTCTAACCAACATTTATACATGATTTCATAAATATTCGTTGGGCATTTTCCCGGCTTTTCAAGTCGCTTGCCTAAATCAAAATGATTACTTCAATAATATTATTTCAAAGTTGACAAAAGAAAATACCTGCTTTGACAGCATCCATTACTAAATGATTCGCTGATATATCGTTATAAGGTACTTCTGCTTTAGAAAATACTTCCCATATAGTTATACCATAGGACCAGACATCTGATTTCGTTGTATATGGCTCTTAAAAATGAATATTCATAAAATTCAAACAATATTAACAAAATCAAATGACTTCTCTGTAAAACTTCACTTGCCCACCATCGTACTGGAAACTCTGTAATTTGATTAAAATATACTTCATCATCGTAAAGACACCGCGAAAGACCAAAGTCACCAACTTTAACTCGCCCATCTTTGTCAACTAGACAATTTCGAGCTGCTAAATCTCTAACGAAAATAAAAGACAAATAACTTTCTTTCACAAATCAATTCTCATAATTTCATCTACATACCGATGGATAACATGATTACTTTCTAAATAAGCCATTCCTTTTGCAATATCACGACACATTTTCGTTAATTGTGACACATTGAAATCATTTGCTTTTACATAAGAACTCAAACTCCCTCCTGAAAAAAACAAATAAACAAGTTAAAAACAAAATATTGTCATTTAGCGAAATAGCTCATCGTACGTTTAGCTAATTCCATTACAATCATAAGTGGCTCACAAGATGCAACGATACCAATAAATTTAACGATTCTTGGATGTGTATATCGTTTAAGTATAAGTGCTTCATTAACAAATCTGTCTCGATCTCGTGAATTTTCATCTGCTTTTTTCGAGCGAAGTATTTTAATTGCATACTTATGGTTTCGGTATTCACCACGAAATACTTCACCAAAATTACCCTTTTAATTAGAAAATCAAAATCAAAATTCATTTCCTATCAAGAGACATCACCTAAAATGTTTTAAAATAATATGTACTGTGTAGATTAGTTATCAAATATTCGAAATTTCACTTTATTCACATACACGCTATTTTGCTTAGTAAGCAATCTATTATTAAGTTATTCAGTAACATTTTTGAGTTAGCTATGAAATAACAGTAATGGTATCATCATTCAAATGTTTTATTTTGTTGTATTGAATTTTCGCATCCTACTTCAATTAATAGCTAGTTTATTATCTTGTATCTTACTTTCCCCAATCTGTCAGCATAATCAACTTTAACATCATGATGATTAATAATATAATTGGGTTTTTCCACTGCTCGTATTAATCGTGTTCCATCGTCACGTAATTCTAATTTCTGCCGCACATAAAATGAAATCAATTTTGGAACTGTTGGTTTAGACAAACGATAATCGTGAAATGAATACATCTAATAATATATCGATATATAATTATATAAATTAAAATTAAACAAAACCTTATCTGACACTTACTGTCTCATTTGTGTCATTGTTATTAATTTCATGAATAAAATAATGGCCATCTTTCAATTTATTATGATCATCTGGATCAGTCCATAAAATTGATAAGACGATTTTTCCTCGATCATTTCTTCGGAGTAAATAATCTCCTTTGTTATTTAAAAGACTAACAGTGTGAGTACGCGGTATGATACCATGAAAGTATGGTAGATCTTCTAGTTTGTCTGATAGCTAAAGCAAAACAAAAACAAAGAATTTTTATTTCGAGCAATTTAATTATTTATTCTTACACCAGTAGGTATTTCAGTATCAGATGTATCAGTGTCGTTAAATCCAGCATCGTCAAGTGCTTCTTGTAAATCATTTTTTATATTTTGTTTCCATTCAATTTGCTGTCGCAAACTTTCTACTTGTTGACTTTTTTGAAATAAACTTTTATTTACATAATATGAACTGAAAAATACAATAAATATTATATTAGAAGAAGCATATAGTTGAAATAACAAACATCTCGTTATTCTTGGTTTGTTCAATATCTCGACGTAAGTTTTCTAGTTTATTAATATCGTCTTTTAAATCAGATATTAATGTTTGAATTCTAAAAACTAAAAATTAATCTAAGCGAAAAGCACTTTTTTTCGCATACTTATTTTTTAAAGCGACATTTGTCAATTGACTAGCTGCTGATTCATCAGTAAGAATTTCGTTATCTTTAAGATTAGGTAAACCCGCTTTTATACCGACTGAATCATTGAATTTTATAGTCGATTTTTGACTCCATGGAACACTATTGGAATAATTTAGTTTAACAAGAATACATATATATATATATAATACGATACAAACTTTGAATCTATGTTCACTAGGCCATCATTAGGCTGGTATGGTTTCTTTGAACTAAGGTGTAGTGTCATATTAACATATCGGTTTGAATTTTCGAGATGACTTTTCTTAAAGTCATAGTCAGCTATAGCTTCCAATAGACACTTCCTATATATATATGATTAAGTATATTATATATAGATACAGTAACTTTCGGAATCATTCGATGAAATTTATTTTAAATTTTTGTTTTATTGATTTCAATACTTTTAAGAATTCAAACAAAGATTTTCGTGTAGACTTTTATTCTTAATGTGAATTTTCGATTTTCTAGAATTTTCGAAAATAATACTATGCGAATCTCTCCTAGAATGCTGAAGTCTACATAAATCACTAGTTGAATTCTTATGAACGTTTACAGTTACAGGTAAAATTTCAAAATAACCCTCGCCAAATAACTTCCGAAACGACTGTATCTATATAAAAACCAATCGTTTTAACGAACCAGTCTTGATTGAGAATTGATTGAGCTTTTTCAAAATAGATAGCTAGACTAATTATTTTACACATTTGTTGTTTGCCATGGAAATCATATTCTCGTATTGCAAGTATGTATTCGTTGTGTGCACGATAAAGATAATCTCGTTTTTCCATTACGAAACGTTCCATCGCGATTCGTTTGTTATCATCTATTTTGGCCGCTAAAAGTAATCGTCAAATGATCCTTGTTGTGAAAATGTTTATTTATTAGATTAGATACGCATAGAATTGAAACCCGCTGGCTACCCATTGGTCTTTTCAACAGGCGTTTTAAACTGAGTAGTTAATGAAAGTAAATAGAAGAGTATAGAAAATATCTCGGCGTTGGCTATGGTAGAACTAAGATTAGTGAAAGAAATTTTTTCATTAACTGAAAAGATGAACGTAAATGTATCTCGAAATGGTTTCAAGAAGCGCAAACAAGAAATATTTGAGCACTCATCTACATACTAAGAACCGATGACATTTATCTAAAATCAGAGTTTCAGTTCAATGCATATCTATTTATTATTCTCTTAGAAATCGTTCTATATTATTTAGTTTTCTATGGCAAACGTGATAAAATTTGTATGGAATCAATTTTTTCTCGTCATCGTGACACCTATATTGAATATTAGCAAGAAGCATATCAACTATTTTAATATGAAATAGAATTTTGTCTTAAAAGGATAAATTTTGTGGAACTCACATATATTTTCGAAGAAAATAGTGAGTGTAAGTTGAATTGTTAGGCTTTTGCGGCTCCCCTCTACCCCACCCCGGCCCCTCCCCATTACAGACATAAAATATAAAAAACTAACACTTAGATGCACTAATTAGAAACGTTTTTGGTACAGGTCGATTGCCTATGTTCACCACTACTCATATCAGTAATAAAAATCTAGATTCACTATTTAGAAATCATTATAATTAGGATTTAATCGCTGATTAATCGTCAAAATCTGTCGTTTTTATTATTACAGTCCATAGTTGCGACAGTATTATATAGTTTTATTATTACAGACGTTAGCAACGAGTGTATGCTACCGCTACAGACGCTGGTAACTAGTTTATGCTACTATTACACTCGTTACTTCTACCACCTACAATAAACAGATAAAGATCTTAATCTTTTCTTCTCACACAAATACCTTATTCTAGGGCTTGAATCCACTTTAGTGTATTTACAATTAGCAACTTTTCCATCCACTGGGAAGCTTTCATCAAATTTTCGTCTATGAAAAAATGTATCAATTTCTCACGTGATAATACAAAGAAATATAAATTTCTCAACAATCTTGATAGCTACATCCTAAATACTGTTTAAACTATTATCATCCACAATATTTCTCAATGAAACCACTAAGCACTTCAGCATACTGACATATTCTAAACAAAAAGTTTTTTATACGGTCTCTCTAGTAATATTTCCCATTGATAGATTCAATAAAGTTCAAATGTTAAAAAGATTTTATTATCTTATTTTTGAACAAAATATGATCTCACTATACTGAAAAAATGCAAGTTCTATTTGATCAGTATCTAACTGACCGAAATATGTGAGTTCCACATTTTAGTCCCAACGGGGCTGCGCTGAAAAGCTTTTTCTCGGTCCATCGATCAATCGATCGATAATGAAACCAATCTAATAATTTACCCGCTTTGACTTTCATTAATTCAGCATTCTTTGCACAAAATACTTTGGCCTCATTTGCATAGCGTTCTTCAGCTTCCTTAACATTTTCTTCAGCCTAAAAATAATTAATATATTGAAAGATTATGAAAAAAAATCAATAGTTTTTGTTTTGTTTAAATAACCACATCCTATCGTACTATATAAACATGCAACTTACCTAATGACTATCGCATCTTTTTTTAACTTTGCTTAAATAAATAATCAAATTCAAATGAGAAATGTTGGAAATAATTACCGTTTGCATTTCAGCTTCATATTGATGCTTTTCGTTTTCGAGAAATGCTTTCAAATCGTTGGTTTTTTCCAGAAGATTTTTAAGTAATCCATCAAATACATTATTTTGAAGTTTCTCAACATTTAAGAGCATCGATGTTGGTCGCTTAGACCATTGCAGAAAAATGTTCTGACAAACCTTTTAAATTAAAGTAAAAAGTTTTCGAGAACAGCTGTAAATTAAGTTTTCTCATATTACATCATTCATAGGATTTGCTTTGGCATATGGTTTTATACAATCAGTTTCTGCCATTAATCTCTGAAGATTTTCAGCATATTGTTTGTCCAAAGTGATTGTTTCTTCGAGCATTTCTTTTATATATTGAAGAAGTTTGCCATGATCACATGAAATTTCATATCTTAGTCGCCAAACTTCATCCACAGAGGACCCTGCCGATGGTTGACTAGGAGCATTATTTCTTGGAACCGATGGAGTTAGACATTGACGTGACAATGTTAGCGTCGTTTTTAAATTGCTCATTGAAAAATATGTATTTCGAGTTTCTCTTCTTGTGCTTGTGACTCGTTAAAGAAACTGCTATCTTTTTTCTCTTCTTCTTCTTCTTCATTTATTTTTTATCAGTACGCGTCAAATAGGAGAGACTATCTGTTGCGTTTGTCACGAAACATGACAAAATGTAAATGAATAAAAGAAAATAGATACGAATCCACTACAAGCTGTTGCAAAAGCGACCAATTTCATATTAATGACATATAAAAAATACAGTAATATCTACAAAGATCAGTCGTTCTTTTTTCTGCGCAGCATAAATTATTTACTGTTCCAATCATCTACAGCAGTCCTATCTATTCCGTGGTAGTTTTTCTTTAAAAAAACTTCTAATAATTCTCCATGATAAGAAAACAGTTTTAAAAATCAGTAGAGAGTTGTTGTTTTTTATTTGATTGTGATTATGATTGTCTTGGATTTTTTTAAAACCAATTTAAATTAGGATTAAGATACCAATGTAAACGATTGAACAAATCTTATTTTTATTTTTATATCTAGTGAAATATTATTTACATTATGTATTTGAATTAAATATCTTATGAGATTATTTAAGCATATAACTAATATAAACAACCTTTTTCTTCAAACACTCTCGAAATAATTGTGCACTAAAGCAAATTGAATCAAAAATAAATTCAAATAATAGATATTATTATATTGTTGATTGAAAAAAAGCCAGAAGAAACTTGTATTTCGTGATTATGATTTCGATTGACGTTTGATGTATGGCTGATTTTTGGATTTTATGGCATGAATAGTAAATGCTTCTAAACCACGCAAAGCTAGAAATAGAAAATAGTGATTGCTATTGATAACGGCGTAATAGTGGGTATTTTTTGTTTTAGATTAGAATTTGCACTTATCGGAAATGAAAAATTTTCTAGTTTTTTGTTTCTTGAACGATTGAAAAATTACGTGCAAAAATGTCCAGATGTAAATCATTATCAGACCTGATGACAAAAGAAAAATTAAATGTATGTATATGTTAGCATCCAAACTGAGACTACGTCCAATCTCAGATTGGCCTAGGCGAATGTCGGATTGAGTGGAAATTTAACATTAAAACGTGAATTAGTCTGTACATCGGTGTAGGATTCAAGTTCTTATTGATGAATTATGATCAGGATAACCTATATCTTCACACCTTCACCCACACCCACACCCACACCCTAACCCTCAAAATTGAAAAGTGTCCATAACTCCCCGAGCCTTTAATTTATTCGTTTATTGATGATTACTTTACCTGATATGATGATACTTCATCGAAGTCCATAAGTAGAAAGTCGAGCCCTACACCGATGTACAGACTAATTCACGTTTTAATGTTAAATTTCTGCTCAATCCGGCATTGGACACGTGTCCAATGTCGAATTCGAGATTCGCTTAGGCCAATCTAAGATTAGGCGTAGTCTCAGTTTGGACGCTAACATATATATTTATTCTAGTTTTTTTAATAAAAACATCCCAGTGAAAAATATTCGCTGATTTCAATCAAATTATCGTGCAACAAAATCCAATCCGCAATCGGATTGATAATTTTGATTTTAATCGACTCTCATTTGACCTAAACTTAATGATATTGCTAGCCCAGTGGAAATTAGTTTGAGTAAAATCTTATTGTTCTGTAGCACAATTCAAATTATCAATCGATTGGCAATGTGGATTTTACTTGAAAATAATCCGATTTCAATCAAACTAACTTTCATCGGGCTAGCAATATCATTACGTTTGGGTTAAATTGTAGTCGATTAAAATCACAATTATCAATCCGATTGCGGATTAGATTTTGTTCCACAATAATTTGTTTGAAATCAGCGAATATTTTTCACTGGGATAGCGTTTTAATATATTTATAGTTACAACTGTTCCAATAATTTCTCGTTCTAGAACATAGGAACATAGATTTAAAAAAAGCTATTTTATTATTGTGATGTAAAGCAGTGATTTGTAAATTTTGCAATTTAACCTGTTCGATTTGAATCCACAATGTCTTTTAGTGAAAAAACAAATTTCGTGCTTCGCATCCCATTTCATATTCGAGTTTCACTCGAATACGACCTAGTTAATAATATTTTTTACTTGATAAAGAAACGAAATATATCATATTACTTCAATGGAGTAGATTTCACGGATTATAGCATCTGGAGCTTCGTATTTTCATTTTCCAAAGATAGATTTTGTTGACAGTTTTTAACGATTTGAAAACAAAACTCAAGGAAATTAGCGTGGGGTTTATTAAATTTTAATTGAACTCAGTCAAAGATATTTTTGTTTTCTTTGAAAATGTCTCCACTCATTTGATGACAACTGATAAATTTCTAACAGATGAAGAATGAAGAATATTTTAGATGACAGTTAGTTAGTCTGCAAAGAAATATTCAGCACGATATCTGACAACTTCAAAAATCTTCAATTCTGTTAAATTTAATAAGAGCCTATATTGCTGGCTTTTGTTTTGAAAGAAATCCGATCTATTTGAATTGTATAGCTTTCAATGTGATGATGAATCAACAACAAATATTAATCTTCGAGAAGGTTGACTAGGATTAGAGAAAACTTAATTGATGATGATATTGAAATTGTTGACGAGCGATGGAGACTTAGAGAGAGAGATTTTGTTGAATACATAGAGTGACATAGGAGAAATGTTCTAGTCAACAGAAGAATTACGCAAGGTCTCGAACAAAAAGAAAATAATCATCAATGAAAGTATGCAGCACCTTTTTGAGGAGAAGTTGTCTAATCTGATCAATGCTTAATAGAAAGAAGACATTTAATTTATTTCGCTAAAATCTCGATTTCGAGCACTTAAAAAGCTATTAGTAAAGAATACTAACAGATTTATATGAGAATATTTGATAATAATTATCCTAGTCTCTTTTGTTGTTGGAAAATATCTTTTGACTGAAGCGTATCAATCGAATTGGATTATGCAATGGATTAGTCTACATGAAGCAAGTAGATGAATTCATTTTTAAAGCTAAGATTAGCTAAAACGAATGAATTCATTCTGTATGATATCGATTAATCGTCAATTTCATTAAAGTATATCATTCACGTATGTACTTAAAGATTAAACAGACAAGTGCTTTTTGCATCTAATCAACTGTCTTCTGTTTTTTTTCTGTACAGTAGGAATACAAGTGACTGAAAAGCTTCTATTTCAAAATTAATTAATTTTGAAAATAAGAAAAAAAGCGGAGACTATTTGCTGATAATGATTCTTGTGCTATGTGAGAATTACAATAGACAAGATGGGGGGGGGGGGGGGGGGGGGGGGGGGGGGGGGGGGGGGGGGGGGGGGGGGGGGGGGGGGGGGGGGGGGGGGGGGGGGGGG